GTAGAGCCGCAGGAGGTCCAGGTGGCGGTGTAGGTTGAGGAGTAGTGACCGGTGGTGGCATCACGGGTGGCACGAACTTGGTTGGCGTGGGGTCTGGAGGGATCGGCATCATGTAGTTGATCGCTGGGTGTTGGAATTGCTGTGTGGGGCTGTGAGTCGATTGAAAGTTGGTGGGCATCATCGGAAAGTTGTTGGCAGAGTTGTAGCCGGAATTGTGTTGCCATGATACCAGGTTGTTCCAATCCATGTTCTCCGAGACCTGGCTGTCATTGTGTTCACGTCGGCGTGCTTTGCGAGCTTGAGGGGAAGGACTCCGATCACGTCTGCGCCGAGTCCTAGATCTATCTCGATCATCACGTCGAGACATGATGGCACAACAAATGCAAAACCGTAACTCCACACTCTTGAGAGGAACGAGTCCGATAAAATGCAAGTCCATGCAAGTTCAAGCCAGCAGCTAACAGCAGACCGAGTGAGACGTCTCTATGATCTGACGGCTGTCTTCCCTTTAGTGAAACCTCGTTCCTGGTTAAATGTGAAATTCCGCTGTTCTATGATAAGCACGTTGAGGTCAAATTTTCCGACAGAGCCGGCCCGGGGTCACACAATGGGTACACCCGAGGATTCCCCACGAATGGGGTGTACACACTTGAACTCCAGATGGAGAGTGCTAATCTTTCGAGTACAACTGATGAGTTTCGAGTACAACTGATGAGTCTCGAGTATGGTGAGCTTCGACTCGCACATCACTCAGCTTCACTCTAGTTACTTGAACAGGGGCACACAAAGCAACGGCGGTTCAGGGGGGGGACCAAAAGGACATTCACAAACATCACAATTGCAGGTACGTCCAGCTGATCAGGCTGGATATCACGAGTTAACAGCGAGCGTCTTCGTTGGCGCAGGACTCGCTGAAACTCCCTACGCCCCCTGCTGCAGCGGAAAAAGGTTTTGGTGGCAGGGTATTCTGCCACTCCGCACACACACACACACACAAACACACGCAGGCTTCCCTCTACAAAGCAGATGGTTTGTTGGATATCTTTCAAGGAACCCTGTCTCATCCCCAACATGTCGCTGCAGCCGCGTCGCAAAGTAGCTGTCGCCAGGTTGGTAGCCCACACTATCATTGAACGTGCTGCACAACTGCGCGAAGTACTCATAGAAGGGCAAGCCAAAGGATGTGGGGCCTCGCATGGGTGTGTGCCGAAATAGGAACACCAGATGGTGGGTGTTTCCTGGGCTTCCCTTAAAAAACACCCCGAACATCAAGGTACCAACTCCCCCGAATAAAAAGAACATAAACCCACATGCCAGTCAGGGTTTCCTCCAGGGATACATTGAAAAACCACCTGCCTAATCCTAAACCAGATGATAAGAGTGATCTTTGAATTGACCTCATGTTGGACTGAAGGATATTCCTTAACAATCACCCTGTCAGTTGCGCCATTCACTCACAATCGAGCGCCATTCACGGTTCCGAGCCTGGGGCGAACATGCCGGCCGGCAGAGGCGCAAAGACCTTCCGTGCCAGGCCCAGCAAGGCCAAGTTTCCTGGCGCTGGATCGGTTGGTCGAATTCGAGCGACCCGCGTCTTTGTTGGGGTGGTGCCCTTTCTGGGAGTTGGCACAGAGAACCACAGGAAGACCCACGTTGTATAAGCTGGCATTTCCCTGTTCGCCCCCTCCTGTTCTGGAAAATGCCATCTATCCTTATCCTGTCCAATTGCCGGATCGGGTTTCGGTTCCAAAAAGCAACTGAGGGCTTCCCTTCGGGCCGGCTGGCCATCGGTCCGAGCATCCGGTGAAGCTGCTCTTGGCCAAGACCAAGTTGGAGGCTGAGAGCAGCGCGCACGCGGCCTCCAGCAAGGAGCCCCCGAGTTGTACTCCTCTGATCCTTGGCGCGACAGGACCAACTGGCTCCGGGCCAAGGCGAAAACCCGCATGGACAAAATCCAAACGCACCTTGGGATTGGCGGCTTGTCCAATTTTAGCTAGCAGAACTCACGGGGGTTTGTCCATTCCTACTGCAGGATCTGTCCACCCACAGTATCACTGCACTTGTGCATGCAAATTTCAGCAAGGCGCTTGGTGGGATATCGGCTCAACAAATGCGCCAAGCATGGGTTCTTGCCATCTTCCGCCACAATCCTTAGCATGGCCATCTCCACACACGCTGCTCCTCTGTGAGCAAAAGTGACCGGCACGTGATGCATGGGACGCTGGGCGAGCATCTCAATGTGTTGAAAGCCATCTTCACTCAGAACGTGATCGTAGACAGCGCATGGAGGCTGCGCATGCTCCTAAGCCAGGCAGAATCGGGCAAGGTTTTCCTTTGGCTTCCCTTGAAACACAGCGGAAAAGTGTAGCCTCAGAAAAAGACCCTCAATGCTCTTCCGACTTTTACCACGCCATGGCGCCGAGTTGCTGGCGAGACTGCCGGAATGGTGTCACCACCGCGCAGGTGTATCGTGACCACATCTGCGGCCGTGGCCGAGAGCGAGCAACGCTGCCTTGCACTGGCATGAGAATTGATGGACAGAATCCGCGACGGCACCAGTGAAACATTGGTGGTTCATCAGGTTCATCCCAGGGATTTATCCATTCCAGCTGGTGCTTTGTGGATTTTGTCCACCCGCATTTGGCCCAGTCCTTGTTATTGACTACCCCAAATCGGGCTAGGAGTGGTTGATTGATTGCTCCATAAGGGAAACCTGGGTTCAAATCCGCCTCAGCCTCAGCAAAACATGCAGCCCTGATCCAATTGCGTGAGTCTGCCTGAAGCCTTCTGCAGGAGAGCGGCTCAAGCCGCGGCAGCAGTACAGATCGCAAGATCCTCACCCAGCATGAAAACTTCGAAGTCGAGTTGCCGAGTCGCCCATCGGAAAGAAGCCTTTGAAAGGAAAAGATCTGCACGCCTTATATGTTCAAATACTGATATAGGACGTAGGCGGGAAAATGCTTACAGCAGGGTTGTATAGGACGGAAACAGGGAGACTGGCAATGCGGCTTCTTGTGGAACAATTGCCCACAAAAAGAAGTGTGTGCACGCGTTACCTGCATTCTGGGAATCATTTGATTCGCTACTGAACATGCTTAAGTGTTGCTTTTTGAACGGCTGTCGCTTTGTGAGTCACGTAATTCCGGCTCTTCCTTCCTTGCTTCCTAACACCACGTGGTTGCACGTCCGCAAGGCAGACCTTTGCAAGACATTGAAACTGCCCGCTGATTGCTTCCATTCGGCTTCCAGTCGCTTCCCCGGACCTCGACAGGCACCCTTTTGCTTTGATAGTTGGATCTCAGAGGAGCTTACCCCCTCAAAAGAAAGGAAAAGGGAGATCCAATAATTCAAACTCGAAACATGGTACGAGATGACCCAAAACCCATGGCAAAGAATCAGAAGGCCAGATATCCGCAGCTATCGCCAGGGGATTGCTGGCCAACCTTCTACCTGAATCAGTTTCGAGGTGGCTCAAATGGGGTGTTCACAAAATCTTGGTAAGTAGCCCCAAAAGTCGCTTTCCCGTGGTTTCCCGTAAAGCCCAACCAAAAGCGTCGATGTCCCGCGCCTTTCCCTTTAAACCCCCTCAAAAAAGGGAAGACGCGTGTAGCAACCCAGAGCCCCGCGTTCGCGCCTGCGCCTTAGCGCCAGGTGCAGCGCGCAGCTCTGGAAGGCCCCCTCCAGGTTCCCCCAGGCACTGAAGGACCAGTGCCTTCGGTGCCAGTGGGACGCCCAAAATGGCAAGGCCCCTGGTGCTGGCCCCCAGAAAAACAACGACCAAAAAATGGTGTTGCCTTTTTGGGTGTTCGTTTGCCACAAAAGAAAGCTGTGTCCTTTTTCGGGGGTACCTCTGTTTTTGTGCATTTGCAGGGAAAGCCAAGGAAAACCCAAGGGAAACCAAGGGGGGTCCCCCTATTTTAAGACAAACCCGGATTGGCCAACCCTTGTCGGTTTGGGATTCCTTAATTTAAGGAACCCTGACTGACATGGATGGTGTAAAAAAGGGAAAATGATGCGAAAACCCACCATTTTCATGATGCCTCCATTTTCAGACAAGCCCAAATCATGGTGCTCTAACCAACCAGCCACTCGCCCACCCGCCCAAACAGCCAGCCAGCCACACACAGCCAACCCAACCAACCCACAAACCAAACCAAACCAAACAAAACTAACCCACCAGCCAACCAAACCAAACTAAACTAAACTAAACCAAACCAAACCAAACCAAACCCACCGGCCAAACCAAACCAAACCAAACCAAACCAAACCAAACCAAACCAACCAAACCACCCAGCCACCCAGCCACCCAGCCCAGCCAGCGGTGCGTTGCCGCACTCACCAGGCCCGCCGAGGCCACGTCCACGCCGCAGCGCGTGGAGCGCCTGAAGAGCAAGCGCCGGTCCTGGCTCCGCATGGGCGGCGGAGCGGAGTGGGGGAGGGTGGTCTATTGTGGACACGCAACGGGCCTATTGTGCCACCTCCTTCTTTTGGGGCATTGCTTTTTTGGGGTTGCAGGTTGCAGGGCGCTAATTTTTTCACCCAAACCCTTGTCACCTTGAAACTGAACACCGAAGCCCATTTGGGGGTCCAAATCCCCCTGACACATACCCAAATCGCTGGACGTGAGTCATTGCATACCAAGTACGTTTCAAGAAAACTAAAAAGGAAAATCGCTTGGCCAGTCCTGCGAGTCTTCCAAAAGGCCTTCTGAGAACCTAGAGATCCTGACCCGCAGGACCCAAGAAATGCTTGGGGTTCATCCATGGACAGGGCTATCAATGCACAGCAAAAGATATCTATGTGCTTGTGTAACTCTTTGAACTTCACCAAAAAGTCGAAGGGCAAAAAAAGAAAAGAAAAAAGGTCCTGCAGGTCATGTTCACCAAAACAAAATTCAGGGAGATTTGGGCGTCTCCAAATATTGGTTGGTGTCGATTTGCAAACTCCCAATTTTGCTCGGCTCCTCAAGAAGTTCTTGATGTCAAATCCACAAACACGCCTCCCCATCCCCTTTCAAACTCCTCGGGCCCACAGCATTCCCCAGATTTCAGCCTCAAAACATCACCGCCTGCAAAACTCACCTTCGGGATTACCCAAGAGGTGTTCAACACTCCACTGAAAAGATCGAGCGCAGAAACATCCACCTAAGGGGGGTGGGTGAAGTCGAATCCATTTTTGGGCCTCAAAAATGACGTCCGCGCCTCCGCGGAGAGGTCCAGCTCCAGCTTTTCCCCGAAGAGGTCCCCCAGCAGCTCGCGCCCGTCGTTCCTCAGGGCTCCGGAACCTACCCTGATCTTTTCCAGGACTTGGATCCCTCAAGGTCTGGTGAAGACTCCCAGGACAGCTTCTCAGAAAAGAGACGCCGAAAAAGAAGAAAAAACCCCGGCCGCCGCCACCAAAAAAAACACGCGTTTTTTTGGGGGGGAGCCCGGCCCAACGACTCCCGGCATTCGCCGGCCCGCCCCTCCTCCCAGCGGCGGCGCTCAGCTCGAAGCCCCGGTGCAGCACCACGCCGCGCTTCCCGAGCCGCGCGGCTTGGGCCAGGCCGTTGGCCAAGTCCATCAGGAGGTTCCCCAGGCGCCCCTGAGCCGAGCGGAAAAATGTCCCCCCCCCCCTCCGCGCTGAAGCCACTCACTTTGAAGTTGCGGTTTTTGCTTTAAAAAAAAAGAACGAGTCAAGAGATATGGCCGTGGGCGAAAACCAATGGTTTGACACTTTGGGGTAGGTGAATTCACCACCCAGATTAGAACCTATTTTGGTGGGGATTGGGATGTTCACTGGGGGGTACAATTTGGATTTTGACCTGTTTTTGATGGCTTTCAAGGTCAATCTGGGCCGAAACTCCGGAACAGGCACACTTTCCTTGTCGGAGGCTCAAAAAAAAAGACGCGCTATTTGCGCTGCTCTGGGTGTTTTCTCTTTTTGTTGTTTGCATTTTGTTCAGGCGAAGCGCCTTTTCTTTCTTGCCATCCGTGCCCCACCATGACAGCTGCGCCTAGACGAGCTCAGTATTTTTTCAGCCAGTGCCAGTCACCGACGACCCAGAGAGAGCCCAAACAACTAGCAAACACACTGAAGATTGACAAAAAAGCGGGCAAAGCGCTTTTTAGAGAACCAAACACAAAATCAGAACTTCGTCGCTCATAGCACAAGCGCAGTTAGAGCGGGGTGTTTGTGTATATATATATATATATATATATAAATTTGATAAATGACAGCAATGTAAATATATATATATATATATGTGTTCATCAACAATCAAAGTTGCATGTGCGAATGTCAATCCATAGCAAGTATAATCATGCAATGTCTGTTCTCACTCACCATCGTCACATACACTACTGAGCCTCACTTGCCGTCAAAATAAAACCAGGCCGTTTCGCCAACATTTCTGGACTCCCTAGACTGCAGTGCAAAGCCAAGTACGTCAGAGAAATTCAAGTCACCAACTGCAGTGGGGGAATGCTCCCCGTATCATCTATAAGAAGTGCGCAGTCATGTCAAGACATCTTCACGGAGTTAGAGCGGGTTGGAAATTCCCCCCCCACTCCACCCCCCGCCCGAACACAATGCGACTTGACAGGAACGAATTCCAGCCCGACATCACAAACATGACCACACCAAGCAAGAAAACGCACAAAGCTTGCAGAAACAAAGAGGGCGTTATTCGGGGAGCTAGCAAAAACAAGCCAAATTAGCAGTGAAACGAAAAGATGGAAGGTGATTAAAATGTTCTTAGCTTGGAGGCAAAAAACATGAGTTGGACGGGTGGCGAAACAGAGACTTGGAGCCCTAAAACAATGGTCTCCCCTTACACATCGGAAAGAAATTTTGGGTGTGGCAAAATAGAGATTTGGAGCTCACCAAAATGGGTGGTCTTCCTTTTGGCATCCCATTCAACCAGCCTCTCTTTTTCTCCCTCTCCTTTTGTTTGGTCTCTCCTCGAAACATGGGTCGTTGTTGTTCCGTCCAGGACGGGTCGGTCACCCTGCCTGTGTCCGCACATGGAGCCACTCAGAGTGCTGAGTTCCGGATGGGATCGAGACGTTGGCATGCGCCAGCGCCGGGGGCGGCAGCTGACTCATGGCGCCCTTCAGCTGCCATCCGTGGGCCAGCCACAGCACCACGGGCCCCGCGGCCACCTATCGGAAGCCAAATCAGTTCGGTTTAAGTGAACTTTGGGGCCCAATCCAAGCACTAAGAATTCACCTAACGAAAATGGCACCATTGGTTTTGACCCACAGCCTCCGACGCCCTGCACGCTGATGGGATGCAAAGGTGCACTTCTCGTCGGAAGGGCAACGTCGGCGCCAGCGCGCTCTTCAACTCATCGATGCTGGACCACAAGTCTCGTCTCACCCGCCCGCAACCTCGAAGGTCGTGCACATAGCGGGGCAAGTCCACCGTGACCTCGGGGGGGGGGGGGGAACCCAAAAAAGGCTCCCGAGCACACCACCAAAAGATGATCGGCTTCCCCCCATCAAAGGGAGCTCGAATGCCCCCCGCCCTCCAAAAGAAAAACACAAGCCTTCCTTGACTTTTGGACACCTGTTACAACCCCCAATTACCCTACCAAGTCTTTTGGGCTCAAAACTCCACCTGCGAAACTCCGCGGGCCGGAGAGGAAATCCACCAGGGGAAAAAGGATAGAATGGACCCCTAGTTGCCCTGCCCCAGGTGTGGAGTGCCTCGATTCGTCGGTTCCCCTTTTTCGATCCGATCGATCCGAGCGCCGCGGCGCGGGCCAGAGCTGCCACGCAGCGCCCAGGGCTTTGCAGCGGTTCGCCGCCTCCTCCCAGGTCCAACTTCCCAAAGCCGAGCTCGGGCCCTCCAGGAACTTTCCGGGGAACCAGGCCTGGCTCGGATTTGGTCCCCAGATCGGCAGGGAAAGCAAGGAAAGTCAATTGCAAGCTGGCGGGAAACCCCTGCAAATCTGAAAGGAAATCCTCAAAACTTTTAGCGCCCACCCCTTTTTAGCCCACCGTGGTAAGGCCAATGTAATGACGGTGTCCGAGCCTCACCAAGAAAAATCAGGCACCCTCCACGGCAGTGCGCACCTGAGTCATGCCGCCGTCCGTCCATGCTTGGTAGGAGAGCCACCAGCATTCATTGAGGCCAGCCTGGCAGCCAACACGAAAGGAAACGGGGAAAATGGGTTTGTTAGCTTGTTAGCACATCGGGAACACCGATATATGTATATATATATATATGTATATATATATATATACATATACATGTATACCACCACCACCCCATGAACTACCCTTCCTGCAAGCCCTCATCTGTGAGACTTCCTGCTAAACCATCCAACATCTGCATCTGTAATGCCAACAAGCAAATAATTTAAACATCTAAGCTAATATCCTCAATGTACATCAAAAGGTGACGAGGACATAACGAGGAGACGACGAAGTAAATGAGAGATGACCTCTTGTAGAGAGCCACAGAAACATGCAAAGAGGAGGCGGCGACCTCCTGATGAGGAGGTGACCTCTTGTCGAAGGGGTGGGCTTTGACGAAGATACGGTGCTTGGATGGGCGGCCTACATGTTTGGCGACTTGCCAAGCTGTTGGCAAGTCACCCAACCTGAGTTAGTAAATCTGCCAAGTCTGAAATAGCAGACTTATGAACTTAAGTTAGACAATTTGTGAGCGGATTAGCAAATCACATAGGTTCGCTAGCTATACAGATTGAAGGTCGCCCATCCAAGCGAGAAACTGCATTGCTCTTCGTCACCTCTTCGTCGCCTCCTCGTCACCTCTTCGTCACCTCTTCGTCACCTCCGCGTCACCTCCGCGTAAACTCGTTATTTCATCCTCGGCTTCTCTGCATGTATTTTCGCTGTCACACGCATCAGGTTAGATCACCTCTTCCTATACATGCACTGTGATGTGGAAGCAACTCATTGCTTTGAGCATTGTGCAGTTGCAGCATTGGATTGTAGCAACTTATTTGCGCAACTAGCACGTCTCAAGTCCATTTTTTGACTTGAAGGTTAGTCAGTCGTAATGGGCATACTTGTTTTGCAAGTTTACATTTCCTGTAAGGTCGCGCGTGTCGGTGAGAACGAGTCTGCCGCTTCCAGTCATAGCACGGTCGCTGTGCGTTGGAATGAGAGCGATTCTGAGGTGATGTGCCAGAACTCAGTCCTGAAAGGCAACCCATGTTTTTGATAGATCTATGTTCATTGAAGGATGGCTTGTAGACCCGTCATAATTGAGAGTATTAAGCCAATGTCGGATGGGAAGCAACTAAAAGTTCCTGCCCCTCGACATAGCAAGGAGTGAAATCTTCTGATGACGAAGCACATTCAGAAGCGATCTTGTCTGTCCCGCGCTGCAATGGAAAAATGGAACAAACCCGCCTTGTCCCATACGTAAAAAAGTGGTCACCTTATAAAACAATATATCTTCGGTTTTTAGTCTTATTTGCTGAAACACCAAAAAAACTCGAGAAAGCCAAACAACCAAACGAACAAACAAACAAACAAACAAACAAACAAACAAACCTCTGAGTTTGCCAAAGTTTTGGTTTTTGTTGGTTCTCTCGAGTGTTTTTGTTTTTGGTGTTCCTTGAGTATTTTGGTTTTCTGAGTAGAAACCTAAACAAGCCCAATGTTTTTGTTTTTGTGTGTTTAGTCATATTTGATAAAAAGCACGAAAAAATCAAGAAAGCCAAAAAACATTTAAAAAAACATCGAGGTTTAAGGCTTCTATTCAGAAAACAAAACACACACCAAAAAAAACAAGGAGAACCAACAACAACAAACAAAAACTTGACAAAACCAAAAAACGTGAAAACCAAAACATCCAAAACTTCTGGCAAAACAAAAACCTGTCCTCAGAGTGTTTTCTTGTTTTTTGGTTTTTGGTTTTCTCAACGCTGTTTTGTTTTCATCAAATATGACTAAAAGCCCAAAAACCGTCGAGTTGTTTAAGGTTTCTTTCTTCTCTGAAAACAAAACAACTCGAGGAAAACCAAAAAGAAAAAGATACCAAAAACGCCGCAACTTTTTGCAAAACCAAAACTTGTCCTCAGAGTGTTGGTTTCTGTTTTGCTTGTTTTCTCAAGGTGTTTTTGCTTTCCAAAGGTCTTACGTCAATTTTATTTGCGCGCAAGTAGTAAAACAACGCAAATACTGGGGGGTGGTTGATACTTCGTACAATTCCCGGTATGCAGCCGCATCACGGAATCCGTTGAGCGATAAATGTTGTTCTCGTGACAAAAAGAATACAAAAATACAGTGTTGCGCATAGAAATGTAGTTCATGGAGAGAGGTGACCATATGTATATGCTAAAGTAGAACTGACTGTGTAATCCCCCACCTACCTGCATGTGTAAACCTGCGACGCGAACGACTTGGCACTCTTGTAGTCTTTTCTATCTGGGGCGATGTACGGAGAGGGATGCGCATGTATTTGTACAGTGGCTTGCACTTAACACCCTCTCTCGGGCTGTGCAATCTAAACTGTACACTCCGAACGCACTGCTAGCCTAATGTTTCAGGATGATGTAAGCCAGTGACACTCATCTCATGTCAGTATCTGACTGTACAACGGTGTCCCTCAGGTCACGGCTGCTGTACCATCAAAACGCAAAATCTGTACGGTGTGCCTTGACGTACTCCTCAAATGCCTTCGCCCATGATCTTCTTCTTGTTCAACAACTTGTGTCCTTCCTGTTGCGAAAGGATCACTGTACTGTCCACTTCTTGCAGTCTCTGATCACTGTATCCAACCTATCCAGGAATCAAAGCCATGTGTTGCCACTCAACTGTACGCCATGCTGCACGGTGTACTCAATGACTCGTCTTCAATGGCTCGCTGATAGCCTGCGCCGCAGGGTAGGTGTGGTAGCTCAAAGCCATCGAAAATCCAGCATGTGTGCGGTCAAGCGGATCCTCTGTGTCAAAAACATTCTGAGTTGGAGGACCATGTAATCCTTTGTCAGATTGTAATTCTTGTAAAGGTTTGTGATGTGACCTTTCACCTTGTAAAGCGAACCTGATGCTTTTTCAATGGGTGACAAAGTCCATGTACAATCCTGATGTAACTGCAGGACTTGTCCAACGCAACTTCTGTTGAACAATGTAACGCTTTTCTCGTAAACCTTCTGAAACAGTTCATCCGTCTGTAGCTGATCTTGTACACAAAGAATGTGCTCATGTCAGCTGTACTGTCCAGACCCTCATGTATCAACCAACTGATGTATCCAAGGCAATCCATGAAATGAAACCCAATGTAGGGGACCTCATGTAGCCAGGCCGGCTGAGTTGTGACAGCGGTTGTCATGAACGTGTGTTGCTCCACTGTAAGCGATCTTGTGAGCCCTGTGAGCCATCGATGCAAGGCTGAAAGCCTAGAGGTGCACTGTACACCGCATATGTAGATGGCTGCCAAAACATCATGTACAGACTGTCGTGCAAAAGAGCATCCCAAAAGATGTAAAAGAGGTAGTCGAAGCGGCTGTAGACGCGAGGGTAGATCCATGTTATGTATCCAACCCAAAAGCTTGTGTTGCCTCCAGGGTAGGTGCATGGCTGCAACCTACAGCACAAAACATACGCGCCAGCCGTTTAGTTGTGAAACACACACGTGTGTCAACTGCGCAACTGTTGATAAACATTCTGCGCACACTGTGTGAGACTGGTTGCGCTGTGGCCTCACAGGCCAACGTTGTACATGCTTGTTGAGGATACCACAGCTGACAAACTTTGTTAGTAAGTCTGCTGGGTTGTCCTCTGATCTAACTTTGCACGTTGTGATGGTTTTGCTTTTGACAAGTTGGTGCGTGAAGAGGTGTCGCAGCTCGATGCGCTTTGCTTTCGTTGATGCACCTTCTCTCCTCGCTATTGATTTTGCTGCGCTGCTGTCTGTGTGTATCCTTATGTTGGTGCGTACTTCAAATTCTTTGATGAAGTTGCTGATATAAATGCTGATATAAAGGCTCTCCCGTGCTGCTGCGCCAATTGCGCACAGCTCTGATTCTGCTGATGAAAGTGCTATTGTTGCTTGTGTTCTGCTGCCATAGTGTATTGCTGCTCCGAAGAAATATAACACAAACCCTGTTGCGCTCTCCCTTGTTGTCTCGCAAGATGCCTAGTTGGCATCTGTGTATGTGTCAATGTTGAATGGAACTCGCTTGTCCTGTATCTGCATTTTGGTCTTAAACTGTGTCGCCTGTACCTTGATCATGCGCTTGAGCTTCTTTTTGTCAAACTGTGTTGGTGATTGTAGTGATCTTGCTAGTTCCTTTGCTCCATAGCTGATGTCTGGTCGTGTGTACGCTAGCCATTGTGTCTCGCCAACAAGCCGCCTGTATTGCTTGCGTTGCTCGTGATCAAGTGGTGCTTCATCTTCTGCTGTACTTTTCATGTGTGACACTCCTGGTGATGGCGCTGGGTTGCATGTAGTCGTTCCCGACTCCTCCAGGATAGTCCAAAAATATGTAGTGTTGATCCCACATTGAGGTCACCTGTGTGCCTCAACAGTACTTCCTTTTCTATTCTGCTGAACAGTGTGTTGATCATGTTTTGTGCTCCTGTGAATAGGAGGTTGTCTACATATATCATGATGTAGACTAGGCAGTCTTTTGACCTGTAAACATTGCTTTCTGTTGCGCATCTCACAAGTAAGGATGTGCGCAATGTGGTCTTGCCATTGTTTTGGCGATGATCTTCAACCGTAGATGGCTTTGTTCAGTCGCCACCTTATGTGCCTGATTTCTTCGTTGTGGAACTCGTGCGGTGGTCTCATTACCAGACTGTATGAGATTGCTGCTGCATGTAGAAATGCAACACTCACATCTCCTGTACAGACTGACCAGTTGTACACCAATGCCATTGTGAGAAGAACTGTCAGTATACAAAGCAGCGGTGTACTTGCAAAGAGTAGGTCGTGGTCTGTAACAGGTTCTTTGTAGACGTTTGCTACAATTCGTGCTCGTGCTTCGCTGTTCCTTTGTTTGAGGACCCATCTTGATTCAATGATGCTTGACCGTTGTTCTGGTGTCACGGTGTTGCCATCAATCTCTGTAAAGATTGATTGGTCTTTCATTTGTTGTACCTCTTTCTTCATTCCTTGTGACACCCATTGTGGACCCAATTCTTCTGTATCATGGGATCGGTTCTAGTAGGATCCTTTCATTTTCGATTTCCTGTATGTCCTCATTTGATGTTGTCTTGAGTTGTCTGCCATCTTTTGTCGTGAACTTGATGGCAGTGTGTGTTGTAGGCGGTTGCGCTGGCAATGTCGGTCGATTCTGATGCGCTGGTGATGTAGCCATTGGTGATGTCGCCTCACCTGTCCTTATCCTTGCCCAGCCAGATTCCATTGTAGAACCTTGGCTCTAGTTTTCGAAATTGTTTCACTGTTGGAAGCACTGTCTCACCAAACTCACAAAGTGGTGTGTGTGTTGCTCTCTGTTCCATCTGTTGAAATGGATCGCGCATCCTTTGCTGTGAACCGCGTACCTGTTTATGATGTACGCGGCGTCGAACTATTCAAGGCATGAGTGGTTCCATTGTGATGTCTGGTTGTAGTTCTGCCTGATCTGCACTTTGAGTGTTCTAACTTGTGAAAACAATGCTCTGCGCGCTCTACTCCTCCTTGTGATTGTGAACTGTATGCTTCTGAGTTCCTTGTAGCGATGTTGCCATTCTTGTTGGCCACTGCTGCGATCATCAGGAAGTCTTCCTGATCTGACAGTGGTACGGGGTGTGTTGTTCTTCCACATTCAATGAGGAAGTGCTGTAGTTGCGTGACTGCATATGCATAGTCGAAGAGCATCCTCTTGTTGGCCAACTGTATGGCCATGATCATCCCGGAATGGATGTCAATTGCTGTGAGGGTTGGATGCGCCTTGCGGTCATCAAATCCTTTGATGTAGCCGAAGTCGAGCTGTGTGATTGGAAGCTTGCTGTGTTGTTTTGGGCGATTGTTCTGCCTGCCTCTTGCTTGAACGCAGATGGGACACCAACTCCTGTAAGGAAGGTGTGTCAAGTTGTGCTTGAGTATCTCCTGTGGTGTTGGTTGCTTGGGCGCTTGTCCTACTTTCGCTTTTGTTCCTTGTCGTTGTTCTTCATCATCTGATTCGAGTTGTGTAGATGTTCCTCAAAGTTTGTCCAGCCTGTCCAGGGCGTGTCTGATGTTTTGGCTTGCTGTGTTGTCCATTCATCGTTTACCGATCTTGTGTTGCGCCTCTCTCCCACTGGTTGTACCTTGGTCTGTCTCGTCTGGCTCTAGTATGTAAAACGCTGTTCGAGGCTTGATGTATACTCTCTTCCAGTATGGGCCTTCTCTGTACCAGTAGTCTCCTCTAGGATGTACTTTTGAAGGATGTGGTAGTCCATGTCCAGCTGCACCCGCGATGGTGCGCGGCGCTGCTGAATCTTGTGGTGTTGGTGGTGCTGTTTTCTCTCTCAATCGTGTCTTTGGGTTGTGCCGAATTACTTGTGGTGTGACTTTCTGCGGCGCACTCTCTGGCTGTGTCTTTGATGCAAGCTGTTGCTGTAATGTCTCTGGTAGGGTTGTACCTTTCTTGGTTCTGAATGCTGTTTCTCGTTTCCACAGTGCGTTGTTTGGAGCGTCCAGTGTTCGATACTTGTCATCAAACGTGTTCGATGTACCATCCTTGAGTTTGATGGTTGTTCTTCTGTAGTCCTCAAGTTGCTCCGTTGGAATTGGACATTGTGTCCTTGAAGAGTGTCTTCCTGTGTTGTCTATGTACTCTGACAAGTTCACCTCGTGTACGGAACTGCCAGTAGTCTCCTGCATAGCCCGTGTCTGCAGGACCTTGCGGTGTAAGCGTTGTGGTCAGTGCTATCATGCCAATCTGTCCTTGCTGTCTGCTTTGTATCTGTAACTTTGTTCCTTTTGGAAGTGTTGTGATTTCTGCTTGTAGGAAGAACAGGCCATCTCTGTTCTCCAACGCGCTGTTGAATCCCTTACTGCGCTGTAGTCTTGGATTGTCATCCAAAGTAAGTTGGAAACCTTGTTCCACCAGCCTTGTAACCGAAAGGATTGGCTGTTTAACCTCGCAAACATAAAACGGTCTGACAATTCGTTGTCCGCTGTGGTTTGTCACGCAAACCCACCTGTACGGCCCTGTTCCATGTTCCAGTTGAATTGTAATGCAAACCGTGGTGGGCATACATGTGTAGCCGCATCGCTGTCAATCATAAGATTGATCCAATTGTTGTCCTCCGTGTGTTGGCGAGCTGCGCCGATCATGGCAATTGCTATTTCTTGTAACCCTGAAATGGGTACTGCTGCTGGGTCTTCTTGCTGCGGTGGCTGTGGCTATGCAAGTTGTTGCATCTGTGTCTGACCCTGGCACCAGTTGTTGTCATAGCGCGCTTGACTGCACCAGTCATCTGTCTGGTCGTTGGTGTTGAAGTTGCCAGTGTCGCAGTTGTAGATCGCCACTCTGCATTGTTTGGCCATGTGTCCTGGCTGACCGCATCTGTATCAAACATTTGTCGCACGCTTTCCTTTTGCTCCTTTTCCTCCGTGTTGGTTGTTGTAGAACCCTTTTCCTTTTCCTTTGTTGTTGTATCCTTTCCCTTTGCCATATCCTTGTTGTCCTGTGAAAGGATTTCCTTGTCCAACCGTTTGTTGATTGTACTTGCCTTGTCCTCCTTGTAGTTGCAGTTGTTCCCGTAGCTCCCGTAGCCTTTGCCTTTGTTGTATTTTCCTTTGCCCTTGCGTTTGCCCTTCTTTCCTTTGCCTTTGTTGTACCATGTTGCTCCTATGTCCATCGGCGCCGGTCCTTGATTGTTGCTGCCTGATGTGATTGCTTGTAGCCAGGTGAATGTTGCTGTTGCCCTGTAGTATTCCATCACCATAGATCTGATTGCGACGTTTCCTGCTTGCAGCCGCAGGTGTTGTTGTAGTGGGCCTTTTGTCTCATTGAGCAGCACTGCAATCTTGACTACATCTGGTAGTTGTGTGTTGTTGTCCTGTTCGTACTTGGATAGTTGGAACTCCCAAGTTGTGAAGCTCTCCTCGAACTTCTGTTCATCAAATTGTGGTTTTCGTAGCCGTGTGAGGTATCCAACGCTCCTTGTTCCAAGAGGTATGGAATACCTGGAATGTGTCAGCCGCCATGTTTCAAAGCCGTCGCCTTGTGTGTTTTGTCTGTGGGTTGTAGACGCTGGTACATCGCATGCGCTCACTAAGATGTAGTGTAAGTTGTTGCTTAGTTGTATCCACTGCTCTGCCACCTGTTGAGTAGGTGCTGTATTCTCCAGTTGGTCGTTTGTAACATGTTCTACTGATTGCTCTGACTGCCTGAGCAGTCTGTTGTCATCTTGTATTTCCATTCCTCAAAGGTGATGTATTCTCCTGTGAACCGTGGTGGTGATATCTTGTACTTGTGGATTCCTTCCAGCTGCTGCTCCTGTTGCTGTTGTTGTTGCGCCACCATGTTGCTCACTACTGTGCACCTGAACCTGTGAGCGCGTGTTGGAGCTCACCCTGGGTAGTGGTCGAGAATCGCGTACCAGGGATCACTGCTCCGCTATCATGTCAAAGTAAAACTGACTGTGTAATCCCCTAACTACCTGAATGTGAAAACCTGTGATGTGAACGACTCGGCACAGTTGTACTCTTTTCTATCTGGGGCAATGCACTGTAGGCTCCAGGCCTTGTACCAAACGGCGGAGAGGGATGTGCATGTATTTGTACAGTGGCTTGTACTTAACAGTACATAATATGTATATACATCATATATATATATATATACATATATATATGCAAAGACTTCCTTCAGAAACACATGGGGAACCCTAACATGGGCTTGTCGCATTTGTTCCCCTCCGGCTTGGCTTCCCATCGGCTTGCGCCTGCGACCTGAGCTTGGCAGTCAGCGCCAACTCCTGCAGAGCGGCCAAGGCGCCGCCGCCTCGGACCCACGGCCATGGCATTCGACCATGGGGTGCTAAAAAATACAATAAAAATGGATTCCCATGGGGTGCGAAGAAAAAAATTGAAGAAAACAAAACATGGGGTGCGAAAAGAACAAAAGTTGGATTCCCATGGGGTGCTAAAAGAAAAACATGTTGGATTCCCATGGGGTGCTAAAAAAAAGTTGGATTCCCATGGGGTGCTAAAAAAAGTTGGATTCCCATGAGGTGCTAAAAAAAAAGTTGGATTCCCATGGGGTGCTAAAATTCAAGTTGGATTCCCATGGGGTGCTAAGAAAAAGTTGGATTCCCATGGGGTGCTAAAAAAAAAAGGTTGGATTCCCATGGGGTGCTAAAAAAGAAGTTGGATTCCCATGGGGTGCTAAAAAAAAAAAGTTGGATTCCCATGGGGTGCTAAAAAAGTTGGATTCCCATGGGGTGCGAAAAGAACAAAAGTTGAATTCCCATGGGGTGCTAAAAAAAGTTGGATTCCCATGGGGTGCCAAAAAAAAGTTGGATTCCCAAGGGTGCTAAAAAAAAAAGTTCGATTGCCATGGGGTGCTAACAAAAAAGTTGGATTCCCATGGGGTGCTATAAACAAACAAGCAGGATTCCCATGGGGTGCTAAAAGAAAAAAATGTTGGATTCCCATCGGGTGCGATAAGAAAGTCAAGTTGGACTCCCATGGGGTGCGAAAAGGAAAAAAACAAGTTGAATTCCCATGGGGTGCTAAAAGAAAAAATGGTGGATTCTCATGGGGTGCGAAAAGAAAAAAATGTTGGATTCCCATGGGGTGCTAGAAAAAGAAGTTGGATTCCCATGGGGTGCTAAGAAAAAGTTGGATTCCCATGGGGTGCCAACAAAAAAAAAATGTTGACTTCCCATGGGGTGCGAAAAGAAAAAAATGTTGGATTCCCATGGGGTGCTAAAAGAAAAAAATGTTGGATTCTCATGGGGTGCAGGATTCCCATGGGGTGCTAAAAAAAAGTTGGATTCCCATGGGGTGCGAAAAGAAAAAAAACAAATTGAATTCCCATGGGGTGCTAAAAATAGAAGTTATATTCCCATGGGTGCAAAAAAATGGATTCCCATCGGGTGCGAGAAGAAAAGAAAAGTTGGATTCCCATGGGGTGCGAAAAGAAAGACAAAAAACAAGTTGAATTCCCGTGGGGTGCTAAAAGAAAAAAATGTTGGATTCTCATGGGGTGCGAAAAGAAAAAAATGTTGGATTCCGATGGGGTGCTAGAAAAAGAAGTTGGATTCCCATGGGGTGCTAAACAAAGAAGTTGGATTCCCATGGGGTGCGAAAAGAAATAAAACAAGTTGAATTCCCATAGGGTGCTGAAAAAAAAAAACAAAAAAAATGTTGGATTCCCATCGGGTGCGATAAGAAAGTCAAGTTGGATTCCCATGGGGTGCGAAAAGAAAAAAAACAAGTTGAATTTCCATATGGGGTGCTAAAAGAAAAACATGTTGGATTCTCATGGGGTGCGAAAAGAAAAAAAGGTTGGATTCCCATGGGGTGCGAAAAGAAAAAAAAAAAGTTAGATTCCCATGGGGTGTGAAAAAAAGAAGTTGGATTCCCATGGGGTGCGAAAAGAAAAAAAACAAATTGAATTCCCATGGGGTGCTAAAAGAAAAAAATGTTGGATTCCCATCGGGTGCGAAAAGAAAAGAAAAGTTGGATTCCCATGGGTTGAATTCCCATATGGGGTGCTAAAAGAAAAAATGATGGATTCTCATGGAGTGCGAAAAGAAAAAAAGGTTGGATTTTTATGGGGTGCTAAGAAAAAGTTGGATTCCCATGGGGTGCGAAAAGCAAAAAGTTGGATTCTCATGGGGCGCGAAAAGAAGAAAAAAAAGCTGGATTCCCATGGGGTGCGAAAAGAAAAAAGCTGGATTCCCATGGGGTGCGAAAAGAAAAAAAGTTGAATTCCCATGGGATGCCAAAAAAAGGTTGGATTCCCATGGGGTGCCAAAACAAATACTGGATTCGGATTCCCATGAGGTGCTTTAAAAAAAAAAAAAACGAAAAAAAAAAATTGGATTCCCATGGGGTGCGAAAAGAAAAAAGTTGGATTCCCGTGGGGTGCTAAAAGAAAAAAATGTTGGATTCCCATGGGGCGCGTTGGTGTGCGCGCAACCACTTCCAATCACGCATGCCCGCATGAGTTCGTACCGCGTTGGTTTCTAGTGGGAACCCAAGGAAAACCGGCCGTGTTGAGGGGCGACTCTCTTAGTTTGGATCGTCACCATCCGCGCGGTGCTTTTGAACTGCGGGTGTGAACAAAATCCACAAAAAACGCAACAGCTAGGATTGGTAGTTATGGGCTTTCATCCATAGACTGGCGTGAATACAAATGTGTCTGTCCACTGCAACTGTATGAATCCTTGTTTGGTTGCGCAACCAAACTGGAGAACACTAGAATACTTGGACATGTCTGCCTCATGTTTGCTTTCATATTCTCACATGCCCCAGGAATCTCCAGCTAGGAGGCTCACAACATGGTCTTCAGGACACTCTCGGACTCTCACTATAGGACACGAAAATCGGCATAGGTCCTCCTTCTCGGGAATTTGTTCGTTGGTTTATTCGGTGAACTGAATGATTGTGTGGTAGTGTCTGTTTGTGTGGTTTGTTTGTATGTGAAAACAACCAATCATGTGTTTGTATCATTGTTTGTCTGTTTGTTCATTTGTTTGTATTTCTATGTTTGCATGTCTTATTGTCTGTTGTTTGTTTGTTCGTTTGTTTGTCTGTGCCGGACCGGGAAATCGGCTTAGGTCCTTCTCAAGAAATGCAAGGAATGCCTTCTGTCTCGAATCGAGCCCTGGAGCCAGGCGGCGGGAGCAGAAGCCCGCCTGGAACCGCGCCGCCGTGGTCCACGCCGCCTCCGCCGCCAGCGGCATGAGCCATGCCGCGCCCCAGGCGGTTTTTCCGCGGGCGGAAAACCGCGGGGAGATCCGTCCGATCCGCTTCGAGGCGGGTTGGGTCGACTGATTTTGACTCCTTGTTGACTAATCCATGAATCCATAGGTGCATTGGGCGTTGTTGCGGACTCCTTTTCCAACAAAATGCTGATTTCAATGAAGGGCTTCCCATTTGGTTTCAATCAAGGGCTTCCCTTTCGGGCACATAAGCACAACTTGGAGGGCGCCATGTTGAAAGGCATGGCCAAAGCGTGCGTTTCTGGGATTCAGAAGGAACTCAGAAGGGAACAGCATCTTGGGAGACCCCGCTATGAGAACTACCCATGCCGGTCATTGTTCTGCCACGAGCCAATCCAAGTCATCGGAATGCAACGCTCATTGCTGTGGTGCTAAGTGCCATGCAAAGGCTGTAAAGACAAACTGTTGTCCGAAGTCCTGAAAGTCGAGCACGTTCACCCCTGCCTAAGCACGTGAGCGCCGCAAACCAACCAAAGTGGTCTTCGGCATAGACCCCAAAAAAGGAGGGCTCCATCTCGACTCGCTCTGGGCAACAGGCGAGCACCGACCCCAGCGCCCTCTGCAGCTGCGACACATCCGGCTCCGCCTCACGAAGCCAATGCATTTTCTGGAGAGGGAGTGCCTTTCTCAGAAAGGACCCTGCATAGGAGGGGCGGGCAGGTGAGCAGGCAGACAAGCAGCATGCGCGACTTTTAAAGCCCTAAACTGCACGGACTCTAAGAAGGCACGACTTGCACCTTGGCTGCGCGGGGGGGGTCATAGGACCTCCATCGGAAGGGTTGGGACCTCAAAAACTTCGAGCTGCCAAGATTCCGGTGGGAGTGAATCGTCCAACTGACTCCCAAAACCGAATACCTTCGAAAGCGGTTGCACAATGAATGACAAGGTTGGCATGTGAGTTGTTCTATTATCTAGTGATCCGGAATGTGATGATGCACTTTGTCTTCTACGAGCGATCCGTTTGGAGGGTGGGACTAAAAAACTGGAGGGGACTTGAGCCCCAGGTATACAGTTTGGAAACCGCGAAATCGTTTCATTGGGTTTACTGGCCTAGCGAACGCCCAAACAGGGCTCCCGATATGTTCGAGGAAACCCATCTACAAGCAGGAACCCAAGGGGAAGCATAGGTTTGTGCTTGTTGAGGTTCAGCGCTCTTTTAACATTGGTTTCAAGGGCCCAAAGGAGAACCTTCCTTTTTGGGGTGTCAAAATCTATTTTGATACCAACTCGGACGGTGTCGCTTTTTGAGGGACCACCTGTGTTGGGGTACCCAACCTTTTTTTAACAGACTCATAGGGAAGGCCAGAACCGGCGCCTGTAAGCCGGCCACCAGCTCACGACGGAGTAACATTCGGTGCGGCATCAGGTTGGAGGACCGCGCGTCCGCAACCACCTGCGATTCAAATGGACGGAAAAAAAAGAGGGGGAAAAAAAAAACACGAGGGCTTTCACTCACGGTGGATTGGAAGGTAGGTTGGGGTTGGGGTTGGGGTTGCGGTGGATTTGCGGTGGATTTGCGGGACTTGGATCGCGCTCCCGAAAAGTGTGGTCCGATGGCCCGGGCCTCCAGCACAAAGTCTTCTCCGGCAGGGAGCGCCCGGAAATGCGCGAAGAAGATGCCCGAGGCCTGCGTCAGCTTCGAGCGGTGTCATGGTGTGTCCTTTCGATTTAATGAGGGACTTTTTTTGGTGGTTTCTAAGAGAAACCAAAAGGAAACCGAAGCTCATTTTGGGGGTCCCCCTAGAAAAGGACACCCGTGTCGTTCAGAACATCCACACCTTCACGTGGGCAGACAGCTGGAAGAGCAACGCCTGCGCAAGAAGCGCTCCGCTCGCAAGGACGGGCCCAAAGAATGCCACGCGCCATGTGAGCAATCAGAATTGCTTGTTTCCACAGGACATGAGAAAAGAGAGTTCGTCCTGCGCTTTTGCGGGCCATAGACAAATCGTGGTAAATTCGACAAACCTCACAGGTCACACGCCCTCCTCGTATGGATCGGGCGGCAGCTGCAGCCTGAAGTTTCGGAAGCCGAGTGCAAAGCCCTTGGGCCCAAGGGGACCTTTGGGCGCCGGGCAGGACTCGATTCACACATCTTTGTGCCACCTGACCGTTGCGCAGTTCCACGGCGTTCCCCCCCCAAAAGAAAAGAAGGAAGGACTCCGAACGCCGATCTTGCAGCTGGCGGAAATTGAGCTGGACCAGCATTGATTCACTTCGGGTTGGTTCGCCCATTCCAGGCGGATTTCAGCGATCTTTCTGGCTTCAGACTTGCCTTCTCCAATTTCGCCCGATGCAGCTTCAGGTATTCCACCTGAGTTGGCAACGTAAAGCTTCTACCTAGTCACGTGACGAAATTCTTCGCCTCTGAATGTGCGTTTTTGGGGAAGCCCCTTTTGGTTGGTTTTCAAGGGAAAACCAAAAGCAAAACCACTATTTCGGGTGGTCCCCAAAAAACAACACTCCTAAATGGTTCAAAGGGAAAGCACGATTTCTTCATCGGCCTGCTCCCTCCTCTGCTGTCTCAAAGCCAAACGCTTCTGCTCTTCCGATTGCAGGTCCACGGATCCTGTCGAAAAGGTGAGCTGATCGCTAGTTGCACAAACGGAATTTAAGCCGGGTCATTTGATTCCCTTGGCAACCAAAACGAAGGCAAGCGGAGTCAAGGAACATATCGTTGGCCTCCGTCATCTTCTGCATCTGCATCTGCAGCCATGGCTTTGCAAATACATGAAACGTTTTTCTGCATACTCCGGGCGCATCTTCCTCTCCTGTCCCTGGAATAATGAGCTTATGTTGGCACAAAGATCATCATGCCTGAAACAATTGAGCATGGCCTGTGATTGGAATTAAACGGGAAACTGCTGACAAAAGCAGTGACAAACAAAATCGACATGTCGATCACCCCCTGCATTGAACAGGCTGCACTTGGCTACATTAGCAAAGACTGCCTTAGCTCGAGATGCGAAACCATAAACTCGTGGTACTCAAATTGCTGCAGCACAACGCCCCAAAAATGCAGGATGTTGCAAAGGTTGCCGAAACAAGTCGAGAAAAGCCGCACGCACGCCCGCGCGCACGCACGCATGTACGCACGAGCGCTCGCGCATCCGCAGCTGGGGCGCGGGGTAGGCGCGAGCAAGGTGGGAGCCGTTCAGCCAGCGCGGCTGGCGACGGCGAAAACCAATGATGTGGCACAGGACAAAAGAGAAAAAACATGAAACAACGCAAAACAGACATGGAAAACAACTGATCACTGAAAGCGTAGGGGTGGTCGAGTTTGAAAACAGGAAAGTTCTTGCATCCTTTTCGTGTTTTTCGGGCTTCGTTGAAAACGCGCGCAATCGCACACCATAAGCCAGCGGAAAAGCGGCATGTTTGCGGGGAGGGATGCTTTGAGGTCCAAATGTCGTGGCTAGCTTGCGCACCAACAAAGCACGTCAGCCGCCTACCCTACAAGCAGGATTGCCTCGCTCTTCCAGCTGGATTGATCAACGTTTATTGTTTTTTCACGGTTTCTGTGTTGCTTGCTTGGCATTTCCTTTTCCTTCGCCTTGTCCCTTCTCATCGAGCTTGGAAGGGGGGCGTGGACGGGAGACGGAATTGGACGGGAGTGGACGAAACCCCCGCAGCCAACACTCGGAGCGAAGCTAACTTTACGACGGCCTGGAAACAAGTGAACTGAGCAAAGGCCTGTTGAGTTATGGCTTCTCACGGCAGCATCTAAGTAGTTCCCAAAAAGAACTCGGATGCGCCTTTTTGACGGCAGGCACTCCCGATTGGCTAACAGAAACCCTCGATTAAGGCCGCAGGTCCCACACCGCCTGCCTCAAAGCCAAGCGCCACACTCCTTTGCGTAGGCGCTGCTCCCCTCCGAGAAACAGGCTGGTGTGAGACAGGCTGGTGTCAGACAGGCTGGTGGAAGCCCCCTTCTCGCAAATTCTCCCTTGACTGTCAGGCTTGAGGCACAGGCATGGGTTGAAATCTGGCTGAACCACTGCGCCAGGATCTGTTTCGCCATGCCGCAGAAACGCAACACACAATTCTGAGATCTGGCAAGGCCTGGCCCGGCCAAGCTCGCAAATCCGGCGCAGCTCAACGCTGCATCTGCGCAGGCCACCGAGCTACGAGCAACTGGCGACCGAATCTGCCACCACGTTGGCGGAGCCAAGGCCACATGCCCACGGCTCGCCGCTCTGTCGAAATGTCCACATCTCCCCTTGCTTCCAAGCTGACCTCGCTGCTCTTGCCGCCGGGAGCTACGAGCTCAGAAAGTTGAGTCATCTTGGTCCTGCACGACCAGTTGCAGAGACCAAGCAGGACTGAACACGTTGTTGTCCGCCAAGCGAAACCGCGCGATCAGAACCTTTGCTGAGGGCATTGCGCAAAACAATGCGAGATTCTGCTGCCACTGCACACCTGTCTCACAAAGCTCTTGACCACCAACTGACAAGGGGCCAACGCAAGCTGCAGTGAACAGGGTCCTTGGATTCACTTTTTCCAAGCTGGGACATTGACATCACTGCCTGTCTGCAAATGAAGTCAGAATCATGGAAGCGGTCACACCCTATTGGCTCCAAGCACGGTCCCGGGCTATTTGCGTCCCATCGTCACGCAGGAAACAGGCTTCTTGCGGGTCGGCTGCTGCTTATTATTTGCTTGGGTTTTTAAGCAGTCTTGGACCGGCGTCGAGCAAAGCCAAGGGCAAAGGCAGGTAACAGTGTTAGCTGTTTTGCCTCCGTGCTGGTTCATCAAATTTGCGCTAAGCAGTGTCGTGGTTGACGACTACAAATCTTCAAGTGATTGGACTACCTCGCCGTCAAGCTTGACAGGCGATTGACTCTCAACGGATTTACCCCCAAACGAAATGCACAGCATCTGGGAAGGGGGAGATGGGGTCGAGCTGATGGCCGTCATGTTTTTTCTTTCATGTCTCTTCCGGCAAATGTGGCACATTGCAGGTCGAGCTGGAACACGCCGTTTGTCAGCATCATGCCGCATCCAGATGACGACATGCAGTCAACTTGCCACCTGCTGTGGCAAACAAGAACCTGCGCCAATTAAGGGAAACATGGTGGGTTCCCATAGGAGCCAATGGATAATCCTGAACAATCCAAAGAGATTCCTTTGAACCAGAAGGCCGCCAACAAAGGGTTTGGAAATCCAGTGGGAGCTATTACGGCCGCCACTTCTCTTCCGGGAAACGTTGCACATTGCAGGTCAAGCTGGGACCTTGACATCACTGCCTCTCTGCAAATGACCAAAGACCTAGCATAGTCAGAATCATGGAAGCGGTCACACCCTATTGGCTCCAAGCACGGTCCCGGGCTATTTGCGTCCCATCGTCACGCAGGAAACAGGCTTCTTGCGGGTCGGCTGCTTATTATTTGCTTGGGTTTTTAAGCAGACTTGGACCGGCGTCGAGCAAAGCCAAGGGCAAAGGCAGGTAACGGTTCTAGCTGGTTTGCCTCCGTGCTGGTTCATCAAATTTGCGCTAAGCAGTGTCGTGGTTGACGACTACAAATCTTCAATTGATTGGACTACCTCGCCGTCAAGCTTGACAGGCGATTGACTCTCAACGGACTTACCCCCCAACGAAATGCACAGCATCTGGGAAGGGGGAGATGGGGTCGAGCTGATGGCCGTCAATTTTCTTGTTTCATGTCTCTTCCGGCAAATGTGGCACATTGCAGGTTGAGCTGGAACACGCCGTTTGTCAGCATCATGCCGCAATCCAGATGACGACATGCAGTCAACTTGCCACCTGCTGTGGCAAACAAGAACCTGCGCCAATTAAGGGAAACATGGTGGGTTCCCATAGGGGCCAATGGATAATCCAGCCTGGCGCCACCTGAACAATCCAAAGAGATTCCTTTGAACCAGAAGGCCGCCAACAAAGGGTTTGGAAATCCAGTGGGAGCTATTACGGCCGCCACTTCTCTTCCGGGAAACGTCGCATATTGCAGGTCAAGCTGGGACCTTGACATCACTGCCTCTCTGCAAATGACCAAAGACCTAGCATTAGTCAGAATCATGGAAGCGGTCACACCCTATTGGCTCCAAGCACAGTCCCGGGCTATTTGCGTCCCATCGTCACGCAGGAAACAGGCTTCTTGCGGGTCGGCTGCTGCTTGTTATTTGCTTGGGTTTTTAAGCAGTCTTGGACCGGCGTCGAGCAAAGCCAAGGGCAAAGGCAGGTAACGGTTCTAGCTGTTTTGCCTCCGTGCTGGTTCATCAAATTTGCGCTAAGCAGTGTCGTGGTTGACGACTACAAATCTTCAATTGATTGGACTACCTCGCCGTCAAGCTTGACAGGCGATTGACTCTCAACGGACTTACCCCCCAACGAAATGCACAGCATCTGGGAAGGGGGAGATGGGGTCGAGCTGATGGCCGTCAATTTTCTTGTTTCATGTCTCTTCCGGCAAATGTGGCACATTGCAGGTTGAGCTGGAACACACCGTTTGTCAGCATCATGCCGCAATCCAGATGACGACATGCAGTCAACTTGCCACCTGCTGTGGCAAACAAGAACCTGCGCCAATTAAGGGAAACATGGTGGGTTCCCATAAGGGCCAATGGATAATCCAGCCTGGCGCCACCTGAACAATCCAAAGAGATTCCTTTGAACCAGAAGGCCGCCAACAAAGGGTCAGCTCACAAGCTCAGGCGGAATGCTTCACCTGGCCAGATTGCCCCACTGCGTTATAGCCTCTTGGGCTTCCCAAGCATGTTGAGTCACAAAGCCAAGTTGCAGTAAGTGTTCACACTCTGCGTGGCTCCCAGCACGGTCATGGCTATATTTGCTACATCGTCACTGCTGGATCCCGCCCCATACATAAGCACATCTGAGGCTGCTGCTTCTTGCGTGGAGTTCGCATTATCCAGACCCGTGAGGACGTCTTGTGCGGTCACTGCAGCAGAGGAGGCTCAGGGTTGCTATAGCTTGGAAAATAGACCTAGTTGACGTCAGTCCACACAAGCTGCAAGTACCCAGTGTTGCGTGTTTGCTTTAAGTCCTACACCGAAGCCTGCCCCATTCTTGCAACGGGGCAGCTTTGGTGACCCGAGCCAATCAGAAGGCAGCTGCGCCCTTTGCGAAGGATGAGCGGTAGCCAGACGTGACAGGCAGCGCAAATTACTGCAAGCTCGCCTGATGGCAAAACAGGTTCGGACCCCAAGACTGTGATCCTTTGCTAGCAGGGCCCTTTCCACTTGGACGCGCTGTAGTTCGCGCCAGGCCAATCGAAAAACCTTCATCGCTGCCATATTGGGCAAGCGGCTCAAGCAAAGATCTCCTGAGTCTGCATGAAGCTCTCGCAGTCTGGCGCGATGAGCGTTGCTGCACACACAAAGCATTCGACCATGCAGCATCTACCTGCCCCTTGCGCGTCAATCCCTGCAGCGCCAGTTGCGACGCTCTTCCCTGGCAGGGGGCGATCAGGCAGCCTTAGGCCTGCTCCGCTTCTGCTCACGCGCGCCCAGCGTTCACTTTGCAGCTCGGAGAAGTATCAGTAGCTTCAAGGCAACTTCTGGAAAAGCGCCCTAGCAACCAGCTGGTTTTGGCCTGCGCCGGAGGTGAAACACGGCTGTGCCTTGAGCACGACTCTGTCGCTCGCGGACCAGATGTCTTTGGCCCCATTCATCCTGCAGTTCCAGAAACCTGGGCCGATGCAATATGCTATCGTGATCGGCGGCATTGGCTGTTTCGTACTTGTGCCTTTTGTGGTGACCATTGCACATGGCAGTTGCCTTGTAGTTTTCCTCCAATTGCATAACCTTTTGGGCCGAGTGTTTCTGTTGGAAATGATCGGGGCTGGCCTTAACGCCTTCATGTTGCTACTGACAGAGTTGCTAATCTTCTGAGCCTGTAGCTTGCTCAGGCCAGAAACACATTCAGAGCGGGAGGGGCCCGCGTAGAACAGTGCGCCAGACACTCGGGTCGAGCACTGCGAATTTGGCGTTGCTGCTCTCAATTCCTGCAACTCATTGGGCGCAAAACAGCAGCACGCTTCCTGGCACTTAATCAAAGGCCACTTCTTCTGTTCACGTCTCTTCCGGGAAATGTCGCGCATTGCAGGTCAAGCAGGTCAAGCTGGGCCTTGACATCACTGCTTCTCTGCAAATGACCAAAGCGACTGGCGCTGTTTGATCTGCTTTGGTTCTTGACAGACTTGGACCGGTGTCGAGCAAAGCCCAAGGCGAAGGCAATGTGACAGTTGTACTCCATTCTGGTTCATAAAACTTGCGCTAAGCACTGTCGCAGTTGGCAGCTAGTCAACAGCCGTCGGGGCCGGCAGATGGCCGTACCAAAGACAGGCATTGGTCAGCATCATGGGAGTGGGCAGACCCCGCAAACCAGGTCATTCATGAAGGCATAAGGATCGTGGAAGGGCCCTTCAACATCGAAATGCGGTCACCTTGCCAGCCGTGGCTGGAAAGAAACTGCCCCAACTTGGTGGGTTATCTTAGGGGCCAATGGAAATCCAGTCTGGTGCCACCTGAACGATCCAGGAAGATTCCGCAAACAACGCCTTGACGGGAAGGAGTGAACTTGAGCCGTACGGACATACGGCGTGTATGCTGAATAATAAAACAACACGTGAACGAAACACACACACACACACACCCCTCACCCGATATCTGGATAAAGAAAGGATGCGTTCACGACGAGTGCAATCTCAGAGGTGAGCCAAACGGCATCACCTGAGCCCCAATTAAAATCCCGCCACCACCCCGAATTAGCGGGGCGACATGATTATTTGACGGATGGGCCACAAAGACATGTGGAGGAACCAAACGAAGATTACTCTTGCGCCGTTCAAGCATTCTACTGGAATAGTGACATTCGGTAAGCAAATTGCGATGCAGCCACGTGCTCGGGTCTCCACGGTGCGTCCGCAGGGTGAAGCGTGAGAGCTGATGCGTGAGGCCAGAAGTCATGCGGCCTGAAGCGCACTCTGGCTGGTCGAGCCTGGAATGCGGAGGTAATACCTCTGCTAAGCTGGTCTGCCCAGATGTTGTGCTCCCCTGGGATGTGTGACGCGATCACGGACCATTTGTGCTTATGGGCCCAGGCAGCAACAAGTTGCACAAAGACTTGTAAAGGCCAAGCAGTGGTGAACAATTTATTAACACCGGCTTCGGAAGCTGTGTTATCTGTCCCTGTGGGCATGCAAATGCCACGCACGCCTTGTCCCTCGCAGCACCATGCGATACGCATGAGTGCTAGTTGAGCCAAGGTTTCGAAGCATGCGATGTAACGCTGGGCTTCTTTGGTCAGGCATGGCCATTGTTCCTGGACTTCTTGGAATTCCCACGTCTCTGCGAACCACGAAACGGAGTTGCTGGAGATGAACCAACCCCCTATGCCCACTATACTGCCTTCGGCGCATGCATCCGCGGCTGCTTTGCAAGCCAGCATTGGCTTGCTTCTCAGCGGGCATGCGAGGTCTAGATGGAAGCATTGCAGCAACCATTCTACGCTGTGTTTGCTCATCCTGGACAGGCGAGTGTGCTCTGCGGAGGCGTCCGCTATGCGCACCCAAGCGGATTTGTGACTAGGCACAACGCGAGGCAGGTCGGCTGGCGTGTGAATGCATGCCCCTTGGAACTCTAGAACTTTAGAGCCTGGTGGCATAAAAATGCCATGCACTGCTGACCTGAGCACGGCTTTGGCGTCTAATGCTGAAAGGAAAGATGGCCACAAACGCGCATGGACAGAGATCATGCAACCCGGCGGCGAGTGCAGGTCTGTGTACAATGGTGCTAGCCAGGATCTGAGTTCGGGGCTCAGACTGGTAGCCCAAATGAGAAGGCCTAGAACCTGCTCTAAAAGTTTTCGCTTGACCTTCCCTGCTTTGAGCAGCTCGTGCAGCTGTCCTTTCAATTTTATGGTTTTTTCTGGCGTGAGTTCGATGGTCTCGTGCAGGAAATTAATGCGCCACCCACACCACGTGAGGTTGTCCTGAAATTGAACTTTCTTCCAGGAGATCGGGGCCGATATTGCTGCAAAAAACATGACCATGAGGGCCAGCTGCGCGTCTGCGTGACTGCGATGCAGTGCTGCTAAAAGGTCATCTACGAACAACCATGCGCAGTCCCAAAATGCCGTGCAGTAGTCTCAGGAGGAATGCTCCGGTGCGCTGCCACCAGTATGCGGAGAAGCGTGCTCCGAAGTGGCACACTCTATAATGGTACAGGACATCGGCAACCCGAAACAGAAGCAGGCCATGTTCACTGGGGTGCACTTGGATCTGCTTACGCGCTGCTTTGAAATCAAAGCTTGCCCCCACAAAGGACGAGCGCGTGTCCTCGGGGAGGAATGCTAAGCGCACGTCTGAGGCCATTGGCAGGCTGATGCGTTCTGGAATTGCGCACTTGGGGTTTACCCCACACACTGTGCTGTCTAAGACTAGTCGTGGGTCTTTGCCTTCAGCATGCACGACGTTGAGCTTCCCGACTGCTATGCCTTTATGCCAATGCTGTCTGGCTTGTTCGATGGACATGCCGGTACGAATGACCCATCCGTTTGCAATTTCCTTTTCTAGCAAGGCGGACACTGTTTCTGGTTCCGCTTCAGCGGCTTTCCAGTTGCCGATGCACTCGGTGAGTTCACTAGGCAGGTCCGCTTGAGGTTTTGGCGGCCACTGCACGCTGCGTGGCAAATCCGACACAGCCCCTGTTGGCACGCCTTCTGCCAGCAGCGGCACTAGTTTGAGGTCGGGGTCATTGGATGCCGTCGCCAGGGCATGCAAAAGTGACAGGCGGTACGGCTGTCCTTCATCGGGTGCTAGCTCGGATGGGCACGGCATGCTCATGGCGCGGAATGCTATCCGTGCTGCCTCCTCGGATTGCTGTTCCGAGAGAGGGGGGGATGCGTTGCCGGAGCCCACATGGGCCAGAATTTTTGGGATGAGTTTTTGTTCGTCCAGCCAAAGTAGCCAGGCACGTGCGACTATTGTGAGCGGGTGGTTTGGTTGAGGGATTGAGTGGTCTGCAGTTGAATGCATGCCAGCTCCATCGCATACCCGCAGGCGCACGGGGTGCAGTGAAAGCGGGGAGGGTTTGCGTAAGCGGCGGACCTCGGGTTGCGTGCTCACTTTGAATGCGCAATGTTTGATCAAGCTTGCTGCGAGACTTGCCGGGTATTCGGCTGTTAGCGTGCTCAGGTACTGGCCTGAGCTGCTTTGAACTCCCGCTATGCTGGCGTGCTTATGTTGATGCGTGCA